CCACAATTTTTACTTAGATAATTAACTCATTGTTAACTTAATGTTGCCATAAAAGTCTATAGAAATTAACAGATAAATAAGATTATGATAATAATAAGAAAGAAGAAGAAAAATTGACAAGTGTGGCAAAAAAATTGGAAGAAAGCATTATGATGGTGACTGCATTCATATAAGCAAATTAAGCTATTAGTTTGTTTACCTGGTGGGCTAGAAAAGTATATTGTACATGGCCACATTTCAAAAACCAGTTTTGTCAAGTTTAACTTTATGCTAAAAGTTATATTTGAAGTACACACACAACTTCAAGAGTTTTCAATCTATTTGATTTGACAAGGGAAGTCTGTATATAAAAATGTTGATCATTTTATGCCCCAATTGAAATGTTTAGAAACTGTATGCTTATCAACACTGTATATTATCTACAAAAAGCCGCAAAGTTGACAGTGCAGTATCATTTCTAATAGATTCAAAATGCTTTGTTTCAATTTGGTTTCTTGTTGTATTACAATGTATATGCATGCATCAGTTATTAATTTTATATTGTTTATATTGTATACTTATAGTTTGATGTTGTTTTTCACCTTGTTTAGTTTCACAGATCAACAGAGTCGCCAAAATGGAGCACAATGCACTTTTGGATCCAGAGTTCCGAGAGGTTTGATATATGAAACCTTTGCCCAAACTTAAAACCTGCAATCTTTTCTATAATCAGCTCTTATTCACCACAATTTTCCTGAGTTTAATGTTTAAAATTACATATTTTAGATAAAAAAAATATAAATATTAAGTAATTGTTGTTTTTTGGGGATTTGTTTTGTAAAAATTAGTTAACATTTAGTAATCAGGGATTCTGTTAATGGAAGTTTGGGAGTCACTTAGTCTGTGACTTCCAAAATCTAATAATTTTCCTTTTTTACCTATATATTATGTTATGTAAGTATAAACTTATGAAAATTGGTGAATATTTAAAAATTTCTTTTTCTAACAGAACTTATTTTTCAAGCTTCCTTTTACAAGTAGTTTAATTGTATGTCATCAAATCTAGATATAACATTTTATAATCAATTGTTTTATTAATTTTACTGAACAATGACTGTATGAATGACTTACACATATTTATTACTTTTAAACTTTTTCATTCAATTATAGATTCCTTTATACTTACATGAATGCTGTTTGTACTTAATGCTATTGTTTTGACAATTTTAATATTTTCTAGAATTATAACTGTAACACAGCAAGGTTTGAAATTAATTGATACATATACAGAAACTATAGTACTAAAGTATTAGAAAACTGCAAGAACTAAAAACCTCAAAGAACTTTGTTTGGTAAACATGCATGTCTGCCAGTTTTAAACCGAGTCCATAACCATAAAAGACTTCCACCATATATGATAAAAAACAAAATTCAACCATTTAAGCAGGGTTCTAAGTAGGTTCAGAATTTCACAAGTCAAAGACTCTTTGGCCAAAATATTTGTGAGTCATATCAATTTTTTTCTCATGTCATTTGACTAAATTTTTAGGCAAAAGCTCCCAACACATGGATTAAGGTAATCTGTTTCTTTTGAGAAATTTGCAAGAATGTTTGAAAGAAAAGTAAAAAGTACTTGTACTTGCAGGGATCATTCTGGTCAGGATTTTTAGTGAGAGATTTTCTCTCATTTGAGAAATTTTAATGAGAGAAATTAGATTTTCTTGAGAGATTTAATTTTCATGATGGGCGAGGTTAAAAATATAGAAATTTCTAACTTTTTAAAATCACTGTACATATAAACATTGTTTATCTAATGAGGATATAAGATGATGTAGCTCTGTTTTATTACAGTGATTTTTGTTTTCACTTTTTTAACACATCCTATGCCTTTTCTTTTTGTGAATTTTTAAACATAATAAATTCTAGTTGTAAAAAAATAAATATAACACTTTTATTCTGAAATATAAAAGAATTATACATGGATGTCTACTACAATTATTATGCAGCCAATGTTTCCTAATGGACAACACTGTACTGTACAGAAGTGATTGTTGAGATTTGAAGAATATTTTTTATAACCTTACATTTTGTTTTCTTTATGATTCTCTTCACAACACCTCCCTCCTTTAAAACAATATTCATTGAATATGTGACCTGAACACATAATTAGACAAATATCTCCATATCCACAATATAAACAATACCTAAAGTAATTTATATTCATAAACAGAGATCATCATTTTCAAGTGTTATAAAACACCTTTAAATAACACTCAGCTTTCCTTTTTCAGTATTTTTTTTTAATCACGACATCGCGAAATATGTGACAATTGAATATTTGTCTGTTTTCCGCTGAAACATTCACAATTCTAGCTGTTGCTGATTGCAATAATATAAAATTAAATATTTTGTTCAATAAAAGAAATATTTATTATCGGCTATTTTCAATCAGGAATCGTAAAAACAAATTTTTTTAATTTTGTTCTTTTACCGGCAAAATTTACCGTGGTTGATGTGACATTTAGAAGACAAATTTTACCGGTATTTGTTTTTTACATGTCCATTTTTATTGTAAGTCTGTGTCTAACAATTTTTATTAAAATCAATTAAAAGTGTTTTATGTAAATTCTTCGACTTACAGATAGATAAAGGTTAGCCATCATACCGTACGGTGAATTTGCGGTCTCCGATCGGCAATTATTTTAGGCTAAATAATTAATTTCAAGTGTTGGACTACTTTTTGGAGTTTTTTTACACCGATTTCATTAATAAACAATTTGAAATTAAATTCTTTGATGGGAATCGTGAATTTTTCATCAATATTTTGTGTAACTGTAGCATTTTTTTTATTGTGATTAGACATTTTCGGGCTCAAATTGCTGTTGGGCGAGAATTTTCTCTTTCATTTCACAAATTTCTCTGAGATTTTGGTGATTTTTTTTGCGAGAAATCGCGGAAATCGCCCCCTAGAATTTGATCCCCTGTACTTGATATTTGATAAATGATACAATGAAATAACCTTCGACAAATCTGATATGTACAGTACAATAACCTACAACTTCTGTGAATAATCTTTTTTTTCCCATCTGTTCTCATAAAAAAGTTGATGTTTTGTCAAGTAGTAAGACCACAAGTCTTAATTGTAAATAGTTTCCATGTAAACAATAGTAAAGGTATGTTGTTAATTAATGTTATTCAGCATTCCTTGTAATTGTTACCTCTTTTTTTCCCCTTCAAAACTCTGTCAAGCAAACATATTAACCCCAAAATATTTTTAGTGACCAAACACTCCGGGTTGTCATTAAAAAAACTTTGGAGACAATTTTGTTTTTCATTTGAGGCAGTCATTTTTTGGTTTTAACAATTACATTAAGAGTGATATCTAAGTATTAAGGCCGTCTAAAAATGCATTTGAGACAGTGGCTTTGGCTTACAGCTGCCTTAAACACTAGTGCAATAGTATTTTTTAAGTACAAAGTGTTTTCAATTGATGGTGTCAGCCATTGTTGAGAAGTTGTACATAATTTAAAGTCAAGGATCATTTGTCACATTTCATAATGTACATTATCTATATTGATGGACTTATAACATAGGGTATTTCATATAATTGTACTAGTGACTTGTGTGACCAAAAGATTTAAAATTAAATTTTGGAAACAGTTGTCTTTTTTGGTGTCTGTCTTCTCAAGATTTTGTTTGTAGATTTAATCTCACTTTTTTATGTCTAATATTTTTTTTGTTCATGGGCGGGGCCATTTTATACTTAAACCTGTTTTTACTTAAATTTCTTTTTGAATTTTACTAGATTGTTTGTAGTTACTGTCAACTTTCTTGACAGCCGCAAATACAAGCAAAAATTGTTTGCTTCTTTTTTAATACAATGTATGTTATAAAATGTATTGCTAAAGGGGATACACTTTTCTTTGAATTTAAATATCGTTTTATTTTGTTGAACATGATGATGTTCATGGTGAATATGTTGTTACATGATGGTTATGTATTTTATTCATGCATTTATTAAATTTTTTGAAAAAAAGTTTAATGCTTTTAATTTGATTGTTTTTCATGAAATGACAAAAAAATTGTTTTTTAAAAAATTTTTAAAAAAAAAACCCAAAAACCCAATTTTTTGTTGGTGATTGATAATTAAAACATGTCCCCTGCTTTTTGGAGTGTTGTTATTGAAGAGCAATGAAATTTTTGAAACTTTTAAATTTAAACATACATTAAATTATGAGAAAATTTTACATAAATTTTTAATTAGACATTTTAAAAGGTTTTTTTTTCCCACTTTTAATTTTGTAAAGAATTTGAATTAGGGGTAATCCCCCTGGCCAGAAAAAAAAAAAAAGATTTTTGACTTTTTTTTTTTTCTATTTTTTTCAGAAAACCCCGGCCCCAATGGAGAAGTTAACCCCATTTTGGGGTTGACCCCCATTCCCCAATGTCAGGACTTTTAAACCAAGGGGCGTTTGATATAAATGATCCAGTATTTTTAAATCCAGGTATTTTGTTCTTAACTTTAATAAAATTTTAAAAATTTTTGGAAACCCCTTTTTCCTCCCATTGAATTTTTGGAAAAGAATTTGGCCTTTCCGGGTTTTTGGAATGCCCAAAAATATCAAAAAAAAAATTTTGGGAAATCAGTCAATATTTATAGGGGTTTGGTCAAAACTGCATGACGGGGCTCTATCCCCAAAATGGCAAAGCCCAATCACTTAAAGTTCCCGTCCCTTTTTCCAAACTGGGGTTTCCCTCGGGAAGGGCTTTAAAAAAACCACAAAATAAAAATAAAAATTTTGAAGTTTTGGGTTTTTTTAAAGGGTCTGTTCATGGGATAATAAAAATCAACCCCTCATTTTGGGCCCACCCCGGGCTTTCCCCCCTTACTCCAGTTTAAATAAAATAAATATGCTTAAATAAAATAACCCAAGGAACAAAAAATATTTTTTGGTATAAAAAACACCTGAAGGTATATTTGGGCTTTTTTTCAGAGTGAGGATTTTGGAGATTTCCCTATGGAAATATCCATGTGGCCACCCAAGGAGATAGATCTAAACCAGCTATATTTACATTCCATGATGTCGGGTTGAACCGTAAGATTTACCAATATATTTTTTCTATACAGTCCAACATTACTGTTGCAATAAGAAACCCTTTGGGCTTACATCTTATTATGAATTGAAAGAATCATAAGGAATTGCTGGGTTTAAAAACAGTAAATTAAGTGCCATGTTAAATTTAACAATTGGACAAAAAATTGCCAAAAAAAAACACAACTGAAATATAATCCAAATTTCTAAAGACACATTCTAAGGTCCGTGGTTTTTCTCACTTACTTGGGAAGAGGCCTAAGCCTCTTGATTTGGGAAAAAAATATTGCTAAAATTGCTAATTTGGGAAGTAAAAAAGCTGGGGTAAGTTAGAATATATTTTGGAAAACTGCATCAATTTAAAGGAACTTTTAATTGGGAAGAAGCCTTTTATAGGCCTCTGTTATATAAGGAGAGTCACTGAAAAAACCCCATCTGTTTTGGAAATTCAGATTGGTTTCCCCTTTTTCACCTGATGCAGAGATGATATTATTATACCCCCACCACAAAATGTGGGGGGGGGGCTATAATGGATTCGCTTTGTCGCGTCGGTCGGTCCGTCCGTCCGTCCGTCGGTCCGTCTCCATTTTCGTGTCCGCTCTGTAAGTCCTACACTACTTGAAAGATTTTCTTCAAACTTGGCTCAAATGTTCACCTCAACAAGGGGATGTGCAGAACCCATATTGCCCATGTGTCAGTTCAAGGTCAAGGTCACAATTGAAGGTCAAATATCAAACACTATCAAATATTACACAGTATGTCGTGTCCGCTCTGTAAGGCCTACACTACTTGAAAGATTTCTTCAAACTTGGCTCAAATGTTCACCTCAACCAGGGGATGTGCAGAACCCATGTCGCCCCATGTGTCAGCTCAAGGTCAAGGTCACAATTGAAGGTCAAATATCAAACAATCAAATATTACACAGTATGTCGTGTCCGCTCTGTAAGTCCTACACTACTTGAAGATTTTCTTCAAACTTGGCTCAAATCTTCACCTCAACAAGGGGATGTGCAGAACCCATGTTGCCCATGTGCCAGCTCAAGGTCAAGGTCACAATTGAAGGTCAAATATCAAACATCAAATATTACACAGTATGTTGTGTCCGCTCTGTAAGTCCTACACCAATTGAAAGATTTCTTCAATCTTGGCTCTAATGTTCATCTCAACCAGGGGATGTGCAGAACTTATGTCACTCTTTTGCTGGCTTAAGGTCAAAGGTCACACTTTAAGGTCAAAAATTGACTTAGATAATATTCTTAATTTTTTAACATTTATTTGAATATTTCTAAATCTAGAAAAGGTATTTGCTTGAAACTTAAAATATTTTTGAAGGGTCACAATTCCGATATGCTGTTCGTTCAAGTTTTCATAACTCTGTGTATTGCATTTTACCAAAGTTATGCCCCTTTTTAAGTCTTCAAATTTACATGCAATCAAATATTTGCCAATATGTTGTGTCCGCTCTATAAATCCTATACTAATGGAAGAATTTTCTTCAAACTTTACTCAAATTTTCAACTCAACAAGGTTATGTGCAGAATCCATGTCACCTTTGTACTGGGTAAAGGTAAAGGTCACACTTGAAAGTCAAAAAATTGACTTAGAAAATGTTCTTAAATTTTTAACATGTACTTGAATAATTCTGAAAACTAGCGCAGGCATTTGCTTGAAACTTAAAAGATATATGAGGTGTGGCAAATAAGATATGCAAGGTCAAGTTTCATTACTCTGTATTGCATTTTGAAAAAGTTATGCCCCTTTTTAAGTCTTCAAATTTACATACAACCAATACTAGACAATATATTGTGTCTACTTAATAAATTCTATACTAATGAAAGGATTTTCTTCAAACTTTACTCAGATGTTCAACCAAACTGGGTGATGTGCAAAACCCATCTTACCCTTGTGCCAGATTAAGGTCAAGGCCACACTTGAAGGTCAAAATTTGACTTATAAATAAAATGTTTAATACATTGGGAAAATGAAAGGTTATTTGTAACTGTTTCGAACATGATTTGATAATATAAATTTATACTATTACCTGTACAATTAGTATTTTTTTCACCAGAGATAATTTCTTTTTATGTATTTGTGCCACATTTTATTCCCTTAACCACCTTTCCAAGTGGTCTTCTGTCAAGGACATTGGTGGGGGTATGAATCGCATTCAGCGATAGTTCTAGTTAAAGCTTGTGATGTTTCATTTTTCAGATATCACTTGTTTCCAAGGTTTCTTCAGTTATCCTGACATGGTTCAAATAATGAAACATTTCTGTGTGTATCACCTTAATGCCCCAGGCATGGAGGACGGTGCCATGAATCTTAAACCAGAGTAAGTACCCAATAGGACCATTTATGTAACATATGTGCATGGGATTATTGAAGTATAATATAGAAGGGTTGTTTTCTCTGATTGATAACATACAGGCTTTGGATTTATTACTTATATAGTGTAACATCAATGCATGGAAATCTTGAAAAGTGTATATATTTTGAGATGACCTGTAGAAATAAACACATTGTAGTCTCTTTTTCTTTGAAAGTCATTAAATCTGAAATAAAGATTTCATTATAAATGGTAACTTGTATGGTAAAAGGCGCTATTATTATCGTATATTCTGAATAATTGAATTCCATAGTGATCTGGGTATAAAGATCCTTTGGTCAAGGCTTTCCACCCCCCTTCTTTAACAGGGTCATTTAAGGACTGCTTTTCCTCAGTAAAATTCTTTAAAAAAATTCCTCTAAAATTCAGTTTACATCAATATTTTTCTTCCCCTTTTGCAAAAATGTTGTGTATTAAGAGAAGGGTCCCTTTCCCTTTCTGTGAAAAAACCCTGCTTGATGGTCAAGTATGAACAAAATTAAATTTTGTCTGCATCAGTTCTTCATTTATTATTTAGGGATCAAGTTTATACAAATATGAAATGTCCATGAATCAATAAGCAAAAGATATTTTCAGTGAACTTGTAAGGAATAGTTTTGTTAATGGAATGATTTATTGCCTAATCATTAAACCTGTGTAATGAACAGTTGTAAATTATAATCATCACAACACTCCATTTGCACTGTATCAAATTCCTTGAGTTGTTTAAGGTCAATCCATTTTAAAGGTTTAACATATACAAAGTAGTTGGGCATGATATTTTGTGATATATTCGTCTTGAAAGTTATGTTAAATATTTGTATCTGACTAGAGTCAGAAAAAATGTCTTTATTTTGTGGATGAAATAACATCAGTTGTAAAAAAGGTGTGTTCATTAGTAAATTACCTATTAGTACAACTGTATTTTCTTTTCTTTTTTGTAAGTTTATAGTAGTTTTTGCATGGAATGCTCATTCCTTAAGTCATCATGGGAAAACAAAATCAATATTTTTTAGTACATAAAGGTCAAAAGAAGATACATTAATATTATAAATTTGTAAATGTCATTTTATAAGTTTTTAAGATGTTGCTTCTCTGTCAATAAAGTATAGGGTAATATAGTTTGCTATGATAATTTATCTTTGTTATTTTTAAGAGTTTTCTAAATTACTCTAGACCTTCTTTATAATGTTTAAATGCAGTTAAACAGTGTTTCATATGAATGATCAGTCTACTTGCAGTCTCAAATGTCACCCCTCAATTACAGTGTAATAGTGTTAATCTCATTATGTAAGCAATGGCCTAATACACGTGTTTGATAGATAGACTTAGTTCAGTATATAGACCTGTTGATAAATTGATGCACATAAACCAAGCTGTGTACTGCATGTTTATATTACAAAAAATGGCATTTATTTTTAAATAGCTGCAAAACGTTTAGTTTACAGGAATGGAAATTTGTAAAATTTAAATAGCTCCAACCAGGTGAGATGGTTTTGACCCCTGGTGTGACTTAAAGTTTGTTACATCAAGGTTAGCCAAAATCATATTTCCTGGTTTTGGGCACCATATGACCTAATTTGTGTCTTTTAAATTAAGCTTTAAGTAAATGAATTAATGATATTCATGAACATTAAAGGGATTGGATTGCAAGTTTGAGCTACATTTTAACAATAGCTAGTTATCAAATTGAGAAGTGAGATTTATGCTTTCTGTGAATGAATAGGTGCTCAGTGTGTTTAGAAGTTGTGGTTGAACTCAAAACTTAACGTTTTAATTTGGCCAGAACAGAATTATGCTCACTGAATGCCCTAGAAATATTTAACTAAAAAGCCTCTTCCCAATGGAAATTTTTCTTTAAAACCATGCAGTTTTCCCCCCAAAAAACCAAACTTGCACCAGTTTTTTCTTTCCTGAATCAGAAATTTTAGTGATAATTCTTCACAAAACTAAGAGGCTAAGGCCTCTATATAATTAAAATAATTAGAGAAAACGCATTCCCAATTAAGATAAAAAAAAACATTCTGAACAATGTCTTAATTGGTTTAATTAAAAGTAAAAAAAAAACACAACAAAACATCACAGATAATATTGAAAGTCTTGGAAACTTTTCTTCTAATTTCCATTCCTGACATTTGGTAAATCTTTGCTTTTAAATGACTTGCATTTTTGAATGGTGAATGTAATTATGTATTATACAGTTCTGATGCACTTGGCAATCCTGAGTCTTTAGGCAAGAGGTATGTAATGCACAATGTCTAGAGTGATTGTGTATTTTTTCTTTAGCTTCCAGTTTTGTATAGCTAATTGTAGTATCTAATATTGTAGCACTGTGTATGTTTGCTATCTATAAGTGTTGTTTTGTAGAATTTAGTACAATTTTTAACCCCTTTTGGCTGAGGGGTTGCCTTAACAGGTTGAGGCGTCAGAAAATTGCAGCCACTGTTTTAACCCTGTGTGTTCATAAGAGGCAACTAAAACGGTTTGAGTTATTGGAGTCTATGCATCTCTGAGCTCCACCAGGTGAAGTGATTTTGACCACTGGTTTTGCTTCAAGTTTGTAACACCAGATGTTAGCCAAAATCATCTTTCCTGATTTGTCGCCATTTGAACTATTAAACTGTGTTGGTGTGCCATAAAACCAAACAAATCAAGTACAATTTTACCAATTGTTAGCAATCGACTGTTAACCTACTAACTTGTCTTACTCTTATCTGCAGCTTTTAAACATTTGTACGCTGCACAAAATAGTTCAGCAGAGCATAAAGTTGCTGGTCTGTGCATCTTTGTGTTTTGCCTTTAGTAATTCTCCCAGCAAAGTATTACATACTTATCATTATGTGATAACAAATGCATTCATTGACTGATATCTTGTATATTTAATGGATATCTTCCTTTTAGATAAAGTTTCAGGTCAGTTGGGTCAAAGTATTAAGGCTAAAATCTATTTTCCAATTTTACTTTTTAAAATGAGGCATGTTTTTACCTTTTAGCTTGATCAAAATCAACTTCACCATATCTGTAATCTGATTCAGTACTTACTAAAATTACTCATATGATAAAGATTTTTTGTAAATGCATATTTAGTTTAGATTAGAAATTGTATTTTCTCAAAGTATTTTCAAGTTTGTATGCAAGGATTTCAAAAAATCATCTGTAGTATTAACATTATTAGTGCTTCTCCATTTTGATTTCTTTTGAACAGATAATATACATTTACCTTATAGGATATGTTAAATCATATAATACTATTATCATTATTAATAAGTCATTATTTGTATTTTTCAAGTTTATTCAAATAAATTTCTTCATAGCCCTAAAATAATATTATTCGGATTACCTTTTGCATTCCAAAATGGGTCAGGGACACCATGGCTGTATAGCAGAATAGTCTTTTGCTGAGGTGATTAAAATGTACCTCAAATATTTCATGAAGTCTAAAAATTGCTTTCATTTTGGTCATTAAAAAAAACCCTCGCTTTCCATATTAGTGTGACAATACATGTAAAACATTACAGTATTAGATAAGATGGCATTATATATATGACTGATAACCTTCTGTCAACCATCTGCCCCTCATGATAAATTCTTCATATTTAAAATTCTATATTGTTTGTCTAATACTGTGTTGTGTTCCAGTCTTTATAAACACATGGCAAGTTGATAAACTCTTAACCTGCGAAATTTGTGTAATGGATAAATTTGCCTTTGGATTTTGTTCGATGGATTTTATATTTGGAAAAAAAAATCAAAATTAAATATTAGAATAAGCCACTTTTTTATATCAAAATTAAATATTAGAATAAGTCACTTTCAGGGCCTCAGGTCAGGCTGCACTGGTGTCAAAGGCTCGTGACTTCTTGTTCCAGCAGGTTAAGGGTTTAAAATATACTTGTTACAAGTGTTACATATTTTAATAAGTTATATAATATCACATTTTTGGGAAACACTTTTTCCTGGTTAACCTTTATTTATGTTAATTTCACATCACCCATATTTAATGTATCATATTTATTCAGGAAGCCATCTAAAAAGAAGAAGTAAGAATGGTTTTTACTTTGTTTTGCTTCTTGGCTATTATTGTTGTTTTTGGGAGTTAAAGTTGGCATTATTCCCTTAAAGAACAAATGGTGTTTCTGGAATTTATTATATGTTTTGCTTGTTGTTAAATTTCTCTGATGTTCAGACATTTATATTGATCTTCCTGGGTATTATTCTATATCATGGCTAGGATCAATTTACTACCGGTATACTATATAGATCATAAGATTCACATTCTGCATTTACATACATAATCTTTGTTTTTCTAAGATAAAAAAAATATGAGCATTGATATAATTAAGTTGTTCTTGTTCAGTATTCATTGAAAAAATATTGACTAGTGTGTTCAAATTATGTTGTTTTGTTATTCCTTGCTCCATATTTTAGTTACTGTTACATTTGAAATAAAAGGTAAAAACATCAAAACTTGCTAAGATTTTTAATGTTGATTATTTCTTAATTTTACATCTGATTTAATGTCTCATCTACATGTACATTGTAGTTTCTGACATTAGATAAATATCAAATCATAGTTGACCTTAATTTTACCATAAACATGCTGAATTTGTATAATGGTATTGCCCTGCTTTGAATATGGAATTGTCTGTTATCAGTTAAAGAGATATCATGACATTTTCGAACATCCTCTGCTAACAGTATGTTATCCCAGGGTGTGCAGGCTCGCCTTACTCAATACTTGTGGCAGAAAATATATATTTGTTCCATCATTATAAAGGTTATGTATTTATATGAATGTTTGTGTGTTTTCAGGTTTTTCTATCCATCGATGGACGAGCTGGCTGAAGCTGTGCTCACAATAGCTGACCACTTTGGGTATGTGTTACATTGTTTAATCTTTACCTCAGGGTAATCTTGATCTAAATATGCTTGTACAATGAGAGCTTTTTATCATGTTGTTTCAAAGTTATTATTATTATCTTGTCTGTTTCGAAGAAAAGGTCAAGATATTGTGATCACTGCTGCATCATTGTCGTTGTTGTTGTGTAAAAACTTAAATGTAGCCCATTATTCAAATATTTCAAAAGGTATCAACATAAAACTTGGAATGTCAAGGTACAGTTGTTTTACAAGTGGCATAATTATGAAAGCAATATTTTGGAGTTATACCCCTTTGTAACTTAGAATTTTAACAGAGGAGCATTAACGTAACATGGGGAACTGCTCTTGTTGTGTTTATGAAGCTGTTGATCTTTCTGTAAGGTTGATTTCAAGTGAAGGCCAACTATTGCAAGCATTAAAGATAGTGTTGTTGCGATGTTGTAATTATTCCTATATTTAATGGTATGGCTGTATTTATTATAGACTTGACCTTGAAGTTTGTCTCAAGACTATGTAAAATATAGTTTAAATGGCTGTACTTTGATGCAGTATTGTCATTGTTTTCAAAAATGTATTGTTGCATTGCTTAATTGAGTTATTTTTATACATATATATTTGAAAATATGTAAATGAATTGTCTGAATTTCTAAATATTTGTTTCAGAGTTAAGAGGTTTATAGGGTTTGGTGTAGGATCAGGTGCCAATATTCTCTCCAGGTTTGCTGTAAGTATTTCATATAGTAGTTTAGAACATTAACAAATTAAATTTGCTAATGACTGAAAAAATCATAAAATCAAGTATTCAATTCAGATTTCAATTCTCTTGTACATTGCATAGGTTTGGTGGAAACCCAAGGTTTTTTGGCTCACCTGTCACAAAGTGACAGGGTGAGCTTTTGTGATCGCTTTTTGTCCGGCGTCCGTCCGTCCGTAAACTTTTACTTTAAATGACATCTCCTCATAAACCACTAGGCCAATTTCATCCAAACTTCACAGGAATGTTCCTTTGGTGGTCACCTTTAAAAATTGTTCAAAGAATATAATTCCATGCAGAACTCTGGTTGCCATGGCAACCAAAAGAAAAAAACTTTAAATATCTTCTTTTAAAAAACCCAAAGAGCTAGAGCTTAGATATTTGGCATGAAACATCTTCTAGTGAGTGTCTACCAAGTTTGTTCAAATAAAAGCCCTGGGGTCAAAATTGGCCCCGCCCCAGGGGGTCATTGATTTTCCCTATATGTATATAGTAAAAACTTAAAAAATCTTCTTTAAAAGAACTCAAAGAGCTAGAGCTAAGATATTTAGCATGAAACATGTTCTATTGGGTGTCTACTAAGTTTGTTCAAATAAAAGCCCTTGGGGTCAAAATTGGCCCCGCCCCAGTGGGTCATTGATTTTACCTAAATGCATATAGTAAACTTAAAAAATTTCTTTTAAAAAACCCAAAGAGCTAGAGCTAAGATATTTAGCATGAAACATGTTCTAATGGGTGTCTACCAAGTTTGTTCAAATAAAAGCCCTAGGGTCAAAATTGGCCCCGCCCCAGGTGGTCATTGATTTTCCGTATATGTATATAGTAAAAACTTAAAAATTCTTATGTTAAAGAACCCTAAGAGCTAGAGCCAAGATTTTTAGCATGAAACATCTTCTAGTAAGTGTCTACAAAGTTTGTTCAGTTAAAAGCCCTGGGGTCAAAATTGGCCCCGCCCCGGGGGTCATTGATTTTCCTTATATGTGTATAGCAAAAACTTAAAAATCTTCCTTGAAAAAACCCAAATAGCTAGAGTTTAGATATTAAGCATGAAACATCTTCTAGCAAGTGTCTACAAAGTTTGTTCAAATTAAAGCCCTGGGGTCAAAACTGGCCCTGCCCCTGGGTGTCATTGTTTTTAAACTATATGTGTATAGTAAACTTAAAAAATCTTCTTTTAAAAAACCCAATGAGCTAGAGCTTAGATGTTTAGCATGAAACATCTTCTTATGGGTGTCTACCAAGTTTGTTCAAATAAAAGCCCTTGGGTTAAAATTTGCCCTGTTGGGGGGGGGGGGAATAATTATTTTTCATTATATGTGTGTAGTTAAAACTTAACATCATGAAACATCTTCTAATGGGTGTCTTCCAAGTTTGTTAAAATAAAAGCCCTGGGGTTTAAACTGGCCCCGCTCCAGGGGGCCTATATACAGGTGAGCGACCTCAGGGCCATCATGGCCCTCTTGTTTTGTTTTGTTTTTTTAGACATAATTACAAATATGATTAAGAAAAAGAAATTAAGATCTTTTCTGGGTTTGTTATTAAGCAATATAATCAGATTATTAATTGTAATTTCAGATGAAGCATCAATCTCGTGTTGACTCTCTTGTCCTTGTAAATGCCACATCTACAAAACCTGGCTGGATTGAATGGGGATATCAAAAGGTAAGTAACAAAGTAACTTGTATATTTCATTTCTATGCCATAGCCCATATTTTGATTAAGATAGTAAGTAACACAGAACACTATTGCAGTATTATACAATAAGAGTAAGAAATTACCAAGTAAAAGCCTTTTTGTGACAATGATTTTTGTTATTACTGAGAGGTGCTGCTCTACCAAGCTTAAATTCATTTTGAAGTCTTACTGTTTTGGGAGAACTAATATTGTTTTCGAAAAGAGATTATTGCTTTACATACTTCAAGCCATTTGCTTCTAATCCCACCAGGGACTGCGGTTTCTTTCAAGTAAGAAAGCTATCCATGTACTGTGTACATATTGTAAGTGTTACATTTATTTTCAGATGAACTCTTGGTACTTGTGGAGTGGACAGATGACTAACTTTACAGAGGAATACCTGCTCTGGCACTGGTTTGGAAAGGTAATACTTTACTGTTAATAAAAAAACCAATGTATTTTTAAATTTAACCTTAGGATTGGAGCTTGGATGCAAACATTTTCATTTTATGAACACATTAAAGTTGGGGGAAGTTAAATGTCTTATCTATATATCAAGGTTAGGAGTACTGTTCCCTCCTTTCAATGTTATGTTTTTGTTAACTTTAGACAGATACTTGTAACAATAATAGAATAATTGTGTAATGGTTTGTCAACTAAGACTGAGCAATAATTTATGTAAACTGATGTGTTAAAATGCTGTGGGGGACATGCAGCATTGTTCTTCTCATGTAAACTGTCAAATAAATTCTGAATTTGACAAATTATTTGAAGCATTCTTGTAAATATTGTGACAGTAAGGTTTATGTAAACCCCTTTGATGACTGTCAAAGATTTACGAGAACTGTTGTAAATGTGTGGTTTATGACTGTCAGTGTGACACCAGGTGTTTTTTTTTGCCTCTTTTGATGACTGATATTGGGTCTGTCATGTCCCAATGCCAAAAGTTTGGGTTTTCCCATTTTCAAGGAGAAATTCCCAATTCAAGGAGGAAAAAACTTAGATAAAAAAAATATTGTCATTTTGTTACATTTAACTGCACAATGCAATAGAAAATTGTAATCTTGCATTCAAAATTGTAATTTGTGCTTATGAGTGAAATATGAAAGTAATTTGATTTACCAAATATTTGATTTCTTTATCTTATTTGATGTATACAATATGTTGTCAGTTTTTTCCCAATGGTCTTAAACATTTTAAAAATTCCAAATTCTGGGGGTTGGTTCATGTTCCCAAAATGCTGTGAAAAAAACCTAGTGTGTATTTTTTGTGGTATTATATAAGTAAACTCTTTTGTATCATAGGTAAAAATAAAAACACATTCCTACTGGTCACCACAGAAAAAAGTTATCAATGACCAAGCATCTGAATATGCCTTCATCATCATTATCCCTTTCTCTGTGGTTACAAAAAGAAATCCCCAGAAAAAATGAGCCAATCAATGAGCATGCCTTTTTTTTCCAACAGAACAATGGAGTAACTGGAGTGCGGGTACCTGATACCTGCACTCCAGTATATGCACTGTACATGTTTGTGTATACGATCTAGACTAACTGTGACACATTTTCAATAGTAAAGTCTCCAAACTATGATACAATGTAATGTATGGTATTTTGTGTTCTAATTTCAGAAAACAAGATGGGATAACCACGATCTTGTCATGGTCTACAAGGATTATATAAAGTCAATAAACCCACAGAATCTCTCTCTGTTCATTGAGTCCTATCTGAAGTATGTAAATTTCTACCTGTCCTCTCATTTTCATAGAAATTCCTGTTAAAGTATATTATTATCATTATAAAAGAAAAATATTGTAATTAGTGTATCTGAAGGATTTTCCTGTTAAATGTTGGTTTATTATATTCCATTGATGCTAGTTTGACACAGATTAAGATAATTAGAAACATGTAGGTCAAGTCGTTATGGGTGTGGGTGTTAATGGGTCATATGCCTGGCATATATTTTATTTTCATGGTTAAAGTTTGGTATTAGTGGTTAAAGCCGCATGCCTCCAGATGGGCCAAAATATTCAAATAAAATCAACCTTGAGAAAAATGTACTAAGGCTTTTTAAAAAAAAGTAAAATATTTGCAATTAAGCAACGATTTACATTTTATCTGCACTTTATGACTGATTTTGCAGTAATAAATATCTTAAATTGGTTGCTAATTACTTTTTTTGTTCACTTGACAATATTTTACTATTTAATATATTTTTTAAGATAATCATTAAAATAAGCATGAATCTGGAGACATGCTGCTTGAATGTAATTTGAGTAATGACATTTACATGAAGTTGTATTCTTTTTTTCTATACTAAGATGGTTTAATATTTATAAAAATTTTATAAGGAAACTTGCTGGTGTTTTACAGGAGAACAGATCTTGACATGATTCGTGAGTTAGATATGATGAAGAAAGGCACCGTGAGAACCATCAAGTATGTACTTGTCTTATACCCTTTCCATGCATATATATTAAATGGACTGGTCCATCTGGACAAAACCATTCATATTTTTGAGGGAAAATATCATAATGTGTACTGATTGAATGGCAAACAGTGAAGACTATGATTTGTGCCGGCTGATCTTTGTTTGCATGGGTAGATTCAATTGCTGCCAAGACGCTAACTGTTAAATCAACAGTAACATTCTGTAATTGAATGACTAACAAGAAGTGTCTATTTAGTAAAATGTATCATGTCATTTGAATCCAAGTCTGAGATGTATGATACAAATATTTAAAATGTTTATGATTTATTTTGATAGAAAGGTTTTATTAATTGATTGATCTGAAAGAATTGCTATGGAGAACTTTGTTGTAAATTAACCAAACATTACAGAATATCAGTTCTAACAGACACTTTGATGTTTGCAGTTGCTAGATTTTGTTATATAGAGGATAATGTAAGATGTATAATTCTGCAAACTTTTAATGTTTATCATTTATTTTCTTACAGATGCCGCTCCATGATGCTGGTAGGTGATGACTCACCACATATAGATGATGTTGTTGACATGAATGGACGTATGGACCCAGAACAGACAGATTTCCTTAAGGTTATTTCTATTGACAACTCTTTAAGTTCAAGATTTTTATGTAGAACATATTTTTCAATGAATATTTAGCTTAGGATATGATGTTTAAAAATATCCCCTTCAACTTCTGATCTGAGTAATTTGTGAAGAATTAGTCAGTTTCTTAAAAAGATTGGGGAGTACTGGTACAGAATTAAATATGTTCTCCCTCTAATATCATGACAATTTCAATAACAATTTAATCATACAAGTTGGAATGAACATTTAACAAGCAAACAATAAGTAAAATCCTTAACACTTTTAAAATGAACTTGCCCCACTTTCAGTCAGGACTGAACTATTCATCATTTGTTGGGAAAATTTCAAAACAAATACTGATTTTATAGCAAACAGTGCAGACCTTGACAGAACAGATGTGTTGGATTGGTCAGCACAGGTTGCATACAAATATTCAGTTGCTGATTCAGAAATCAAGTGGTATTACTAGTCAGTCACTTGAGAAGAAAATGCTAACTACTGGTTAGTTATCGAGGAAAGCCTGTAAGTGGACTGACTTCCCAAGATATGACAAAAAACTGTTAAAATTGGTGTTGAAACTAAAACAAAGAATTAAACAAAAGTGATAATAAGTTACAGTAATAAGTGAAAGTATGAATCTTCATGAGTGTTTATATTTCTGTTATAGATAAGTGACTGTGGTGGTATGCCGTTAGAGGAGCAGCCAGGCAAAGTGAGCGAGGCTTTCAGACTATTCCTTCAAGGAATGGGCTACAGTATGTTTTTATTTTTGTACACTTTATCTTGATATATGACTAGAGGCTAGAAAAAAGTGTATCTTATTGTTTATAGGCAGGGCAGTATGCTATTATCTTTATTTATAAACATGAAAAGCCATAAATTTGAAAAATAAAATGGCCATCTTACATTCATTTGTTCAGCTTTGTTAGCTAGAATTTTATTTTGAGACTACGTAAATGTCAAAAAACAAATAAGATGAATCAAAAGTATTATTGATTATAATAATGAATGCATTATCATATATAACTAAAAAGAAAGATATAATAAATAAATCCCTTAAAGAAATAAAAAAGAAAAAAACACACGCAAAAACCAGATGTAAAGGGAGGTAACTGTAATTAGTCTTTGAAAAGAAGTGGTAAAAGTAATCAGCAATAACTTTAGAAATCTTATTTACAGAAAAAGAATATTTAAAACTTTGTTAGGACGAAAATGTTTTTAAAAAATCCATAGAAAATTAAACATTTTATTCAAATCGTATGAAAAACAGTCTAATGAAGAAAATTGCTTTAAGCTTGAAAACACTTTGAGATTATATTTGCATTTTACATTTAGTTTCAAGCCTGCCTCGCGTGAGTAGACTGGTATATAAACAGATGGAGTCGTGTCATGACAAAATCAACGTAATGCGTTTGCGACCAGCATAGGGTTGGTAAGCGAACAGCATGGATCCTGATCAGACTGCTCGGATGCGCAGGCTGGTCTGGATCCATGCTGGTCGCAAACCCACTATGTTGGTTTTGTCGTGACAGGGCTCAGATGTAGTTGTCAGACACTTGTGTATCAACTGTTTGCATGCATGATTATTATGCCTAAGGCATAGATAGACACTTAGTTTTAAAATTTAATTTAAAAAGTTTTATTCAAATTTGAAAGTAAAGTATTCCGGAAATCAAGGGTCATGGAAGGTGTTCATTGTTATAGATTTACCAAACTAGGCTCAGTTTTTTGTATCTTGTTTTTGAAGTGAAGAATTTTAAAATAATCACATGTAAATCAGACCTATTAAAATGAAAAGTATTCCTGTATTAGTTTGTGTTCAGAATTGCCATGTTTGTCTTCCGAGATATAGAGTAGTTTGTTTTAAGAAGATCTACCTTCTCATTAAATTTATGCATTTAATGTAGAAAATGACATTATGTTTGAGTTTTTACTTTTTCATAAATTCTTCAAATTCTCTCAAATGAAGAATCTTTCATATAATATCCATGTGCTTTATATTCATTAATAACAATTTCTTATGCCTTGGATTCATTCATTGTTTCACTTTTCATGCTTACTTTTTATCATTTTTCTTGCTTTATTTCTGTAACTGTAACCTCGACTTTGCCCCAGATGACCTCAAAATTAATAGGGTTCATCTACTGTCCATAGGCAATGTCTCTGCCATGGCTTATTCCTTTTTGATTGGCCAAGGAAAAAGCAACATATATTTATTGATTGGCCAATGAAAAGCAACATATAAACATATGTGCAGACTTAACGCCATATTACATGCATTACATGATACTCCCAAAATTTTTGATTGGCAGCAGAATAAATGACTGTTCTTGAAATTTGGACAATCATGGTGATGACACAATATATAGACAGACTAAATTTGAGTGGAATTCTTCGATTATATACTTGTATATTACTTATTTCTAACTTTATACTTGGCCTTTATGAAATGTGCATAAGTATGAAAATATGCCACAATGAGATGGGAATGAAGTGGGAGCAGAAGTGTCCTTTGGACACATTTTTCTTGTTCTTTATTGGGCCAATGTATGTTCATTGATTTATGTGTGATTTTGTTATCTGCCATGTTGAATGTTCTTGTCTGAACTATAAATCTGTCAGTTAGTTGAGAGTCATCCAAGAAATTGTCATACATTTCTTTGTTGAGCTGTTTGGTCATCTTTTTAATCACCCTTAAGTCAGGATCAAATGTCAAAAAAATATGGCCAGACATGTACATGTATTGCCAAGGGCATTTTGTTGTACTCATAGGCCAAATTTGGTATAAGTTATATTATTGTAATTACATATGAAATAGCCCTGCATCAATATGTAAAGTTAACCTTGAAAGTTAAACTTTTGCTTACTAAAATTGTAAAAATATAGATAATTGAGGGTCGGTTAGTAGGACACCTTTAAAGTATTATTACATGTGAAAACATACAAGAAGTAAAGTAAATTATAAAGCAACAAATAGAAAAAAGACTTAACAGAAACCAGGTATAAAGGGAGGTTACTGAGTATTTTCTCTGAAAACTTGTTCTTGATTGAATGTCAAAAACATGGCATTTTACGCCAGAAAAAAATGGTTTTGGTAATTTTGCCATAAAAATGTTAGGTTGTGGGCTTAGATAGTTGCATTTTACAAGATATGTGTCAATATTTCTTGTAGTGTTGGTTAATGTTAATGGCTGAAACTTACAGTAATTTCACTAAGTCAGAAATTTACCTACTTACTGAAAGAGAAAAGTACTTCAGGTGTATTGTCAGCATGGTCAGGTTACTCATTTGGATACTTAGCTGACATGTCATATTTTTCTCTTTCAATTGTTACATACAATGCTTTTTGGGCATCATTTTCTCTTTATTTTCGCTTTTTGTTTTGTTGATGTCATTCATTTGCTTTTTCTAAGTATTTCGTATGCACAAGAATCTTCATTTGTTTTGCTGCCACATGCTTCGATTTGATCAAAGTTTTTCGATCTGTTTACCTTAAATCCCCAAAATATTTGTCTACCTTTCAGTGAAGACCTGTGAAAAAATGTTTTTATTAAATTTGTAAGTCTGTATGCTAACTTGCCCAGCTTTCTTTAATTTCTTCCCTCAGAAATCTTCTGAATGTAGTGTATATTTAAGAATATAAAAAATTTGAACATGTTTAGTACAAATAAAGGGAAGGCTTCTGGCTTATTGGTAATGCAAAGTCTCGGAAAAATGAATTAGCTAAAAACTTTTTTTTTAATTTTAGTTCCAACAATGAGACCTTCACAGAGCAGCAGTAGAACCAGTACAACATCCAGCACAAGTATTCTCAGCCACTCAGAACTGACGTCACAACCTGTTTGCTGATAACAACCAATCAAAACGCTTGTGTCATAACAACTTGGTTTTTGCTTAAGTCTTGGACAATAATGTTCTCAGCTAGTCAGGTCTACTGTCTAAAATAAAGCATAAGCAAAATTATATATAGCTTGTTGAAAGGAAGAAGAAAGTTTCAAAACGTTCTTTTCTTGGTGTTGTTACTGTTTTTATTGTTAATATGTTTATTACACTTTTAAGACATAGTTTACATTTATATTCAGAGATCCGTCGTCAAGTGCATGTTGTTTACACATCAAACATATGTATTGTTTTTCTCTGTGGACTTACACGCTATAACATATGCTATTATACATAATTTGGTTTGGTCAATCAACTGAAGAAATACAGAGCAAAGAACTTTCACTGTGAAATATAGTCAAAACACCCAATAACTTTTGATTACTGAATCATAACATTCAATTAGTATCATGAATGAATTATTATAATGATGTGACCATTTGCATTTTGTAATGAATTTATTATGAATGTTATATTACTTAATAGAGGCTTAAATTTGCAGGAATTGAGGTATGCAAAATTTTTAAATAAAAAGGAAATAAACAGCTTTCGAATTAGTGTAGGAAGCATTTGATGGGGCATAAATATCAGTTTTATTTGAATCTCAAATCTGTACATTGTGTAAATTTGTAGTTTTGATTTACTATAATTATACAGTTTTGTTTGTTTCTTTGTATTAAAACTGAAAACTTATTATTGTTTTTGTGGAGAGACAAAATGAATTTTTATATACTGATGTAAAATATATAAGTTACTAGCTAGTTTCTTTAAGGTTTATAAGACTTGCATTAACTAGTATTGCCTTACATACCTCATTTGTTACTGTAAACTTTGTTTTTTATTACATGACTTACCTTCTTTTATTATTCCCCTATAATTTGTAAACAGATGCTATTTTGTGTGGGTTTTTTTGTGTAGCAATTTTGTACACATTACCTGTACATATTAAGGTTCATGATTTATTATCAGAATAATAACGTTGTGTGTTTCTTTGTTTAAAGGGGATGAGTTTCAAATGACATTATGATATGGGTTCATTATATAGAACTTAATACTAAAATGAAAATCAATTCATTGCTACAACTCATCTTGTGTGTTTCACCTACAAAGTGATTTTTCTCTGGTCCATTCTGCTTAAATTTATATATAGATTTCTTAGACGAATAAGGTATTAAAGTCTTCAAATCTCTATTTTTTTAAGAAACAAGAAACACCATATGTATAGAGATAAGAATTTGTATAGAGAGTTAAAATGTTAAGAAACAGTAATGAAGGGCCATAAGACCATGTGTAAGCACTCCCATTTGCAGTGTATGAACCTTAAACTACATAGATATTTGTCTTTTAGTTATACATATTTATAATATAATATGAAGTCAACTATGCATAGAATACTGTTGTTTCTGCTTATAACTGTGATAGAACTGTTCTGAATTTGTGCAGACATCCAGTGTTGTGTATCCTTAATTGGCTATATTTGAGCCGCGTCATGACAAAACCAACATAATGCGTTTGCCGCGCAGTCTGATCAGGATCCATGCTGTTCGCTTACCAACTCTATTACAAGTAGAGAAACTGATAGCGAACAGCATGGATCCTGATCAGACTGCGCGGATGCGCAGGCTGGTCTGGATCCATGCTGGTCGCAAACCCATTATGATGGTTTTGTCATGACGCGACTCATTTAGTAATTAGAACATCAAGGTTATGTAAACCCTGCTGTCATAGATGTTTATGTTTTGTTTTACTGTTACCCCTGGTTTGTAGATTGTTTTAATGTAAACCTTATAACAGACATGAAATAATTTGTCAAGTGTTCATGTAAATAGAAATAAGAGCTTTTTTTTGCTTTTTTATTTTATGATTTTTCATCAGTGAAAAATGTGGTATGTTTTCTTTTTTTAAACCTGCAATTTATGCCAAAGTGTCATTTTGTTGACACAATTTAGTAAATATTTGTACATTGATATATTTTGTTTTATATATATCGCTCGGTTTGCCGTGTTTAACATTCCTTATTGTTTATATTTTGTCTATAATGTGTTTTATCAGAATAGTTAATGAAAAGTTATTATTTTCAGTGTACGAAAAGTATACATTTGTGTATATGGGGGATTTAAAATAAATGCTTATCAAGCAAAATGATATTATCCCCACCCCCAAACAAAGGCCACTTTCACACTTTCCCCTTGGTGGCCTTGTTGACAAGTTTGACTGTATATATGAAGATATCGAAAAATGCTTGGTTTTAAATTGTATTGCAATTAACTTGTGGGCATTATATGTACAAATGCATATTTGAAATGCCCTGTACATAACACAAATGTTAAAATAACACAAAATTAAATTAATATATATGTAGATTGAGTAGGTGATCTTATATCAAGTAAATCTTTAATAAAATATGATAAATGAAAAATCATGAATATAACTGTACCTTTATTTACAGATATAAAAATATATGAAATTAACAGTTACGGATAACATTTATGTATTAAGTGTTTGTAAAGTTTAGTTTCTAGTCCTTACTTACAGCTGCAAAAATGACATTTGTATTATAAATTTGTTTGTTATTATAATTGTTTGTGTTAAATGTAAGTTTGAAATGACTTCATGTTAATGTAAATACATTTTTTATGTGCAATCAAAAGTATGAAAAAATGAAATAATACAAATGTTTTTGGTTCCATTATTTTCCTCAGCTTATCAGGAATTAAAGTTACTGTTTAATTTTTTGTGTGATGAAATTGTTTTACATTTATTTTTTGCTGCTCCTATGTTTTCATGGTAATGTCACAAAGTTCTTAATTTCCATTTAACATATATCATTGCTTAATCATATATGTATGAAATATGAACCCCTTGTTGTAAAATTGTTGACACCGCTTCATGCAAAGTAACAGTGACAGTTTGTTAATATACTACTCAATTTCATCCTTGATTTAAGTTGTCATTTACAGAAGATTGGCAGTTTTCAATATTTACTACTATATCTACTCAGAATGTTAAATCAATAAAACATAACATGTGAACATGAAATTTCAGGCATGGAGTTCATGTTCAAACTTTTTTTAAATAAGGAAATTAAAAGAAATTTCTTGTAACTTGGTTTATTTCAGAACTTCAGTATACTTTTAATCTGAAATATGACCTCGAGAAATTTTATATTTTAATGACAAGATATGTATAACGGAGTAGTACTCGTTTGAAACTAGTGGTACTAGTAGGACATAAAGATGTACACTAAGGTTTTTTTAACATTTTGAATTAATTAAAACCTATGGTTTAAAGAGTTTATATTTCTTGTTAAAATTAGATGGGACCAATATATTTTAAGCTAAAAATTTTGAAATGGTTTTCAGCCTGTTCAACTTTTATTTGCGTCCGTAGCCAAGTGGTAAAGGTGTTCAGCTGCAAACCACTTTCTCGTCACCGTTGTGGGATTCGATTCCAGTCAGGGTCTTTGAGTTCTTTCTGGCGAGGAAGCTATTCAGCTAGCTTACAAACTGTCAGTGGTTCCACTCATCCACTCAGAGTCTGGCCCCTGTCTGAAATATTAACAATTATGAAAAAAAAATGGTTTGTCTAAGTCTGGATTATGTGTGAATTTATTATAAATGGTTACAATCTCCCTCCAGCTGACTTCGGTTATATTTTACATTGTTCGATGTTATGCCAGTTGTCAGGTTATGTTTTTTCTACTTAGTGTAATTAGTTCACAGACAGAAAATAAACAGGATTTGAAAAGACTGGTTTTGTCTTATTATTATTTATTCCTTTCTTTTATGAAAAGAGACTACATGTATATTGTTTTGCTTATGTCTGTGTTCAAGTCTATAGGCTGCTATATTTCTACATTTTGCCTCAGAATTTGCTTATTACCTGAAGAATGAAGAAACGAATGTGAAATTTATACATTATATGTTATTAGGAAAATGTAAACAAAGTAGTATTTTGCCTTCCGTACAAAATTCTAAATCACAATAACTACTAATTACCTAAAAATGATGGTGCAAGTAATTGGCCAGTGACTTAATTTTTTATTTGGTAATTATACTGAGCAAAATTTCCAACTAGACCTTTAAAAAATGTTAACATTTTCATAAGCATTGCTTAGATTTTAAACTTAATACGTTAGGCAATATATAACATGCGATAAAATAATATTTTAGATAAATCTGCATATTTGAATAGCAATCATTGGTAGAGTTATTGCTCTTGACTTAGTTAAGATTTGCAATTTTCAACTTGTGTCAAGTGTAGCCCAAAATGTATTTGACCTAGTCATGAAACTTTACAGAAATATGTCGGCATGTGTAGTTGTGCACCTGTGGTTTTGCGTTCGGAATTATTCATTACTTTTTGAGTTATTGCCCTTGACTTAGTTACAATTTGCAATTTTCAACTTTTGTCATACGTAGCCCAAAAATCATCGGACCTAGTCATGAAACTCATTGGGGTTTACATGCGCATTTATTCAGTATTTGTAGAGTTATTGTCCTAGACTTAGTGAAAATTTGCATTTTTCAACTTGTGTGGTGCGTAACTAGAGTCATGAAACTTAATAGAAATGTTGCTCAGCATGTGAAGTTGTGCACCTGGGGTTTCGCAATTGAATTAATTGCGTTTTGTCAGGGTTATTGCCCTTGACTTAGTAAAAACTTGCAAATGTCAATTAGTGTAGAGCGTATCCAAAAAGATATTTGATTTAGAGTCATGAAACTTTACAGGACTGCATTAATTTTGTAGTTAAGCACATTGTGGCTTGCTTGTACATTTAACAAAAAATTATAGAGTAAGTGCCCAAAGACTGTTCTAAAATGTTGTGTCATGTGTATCTCATAAAAGGCTTGAGTCAGAATCGAGAAACTTTACAGGAATATTGATCAACATGTGAAGTTGTAACCTTTGGTTTTTTGCGTGGATTATTCAGTATTCTAGACCTCTTGCCCTTGACTTAGTATAGATTTTAATTTTTCAACTTGCGTGATGCGTAGCTCAAAGAGTATTTGACCAGGAGTCATGAAAATTTACAAGACTGTTGGCCAGCATGTCTAATTATGCACTTGGTGATTTCTTTTGGACTTATTCAATAAATTTTGTAGAGTAATTCCCCTGAAAAAAAAACCATTCCTTAATGTTGTGTCACGCGTACCTCTAAAAGTGACTGGGCTAGAATAAAGAACTTGACAGTAATGTTGATTAGCATGTATAGATGTGCACTTTGGGTTTTACATGTGGATGAATTCAGTTATGCTACAGTTATTGCCCTCGACGTAGTATAAATTTGCACTTTTCAACTTGTGTGTTGCGTAGCCCAAAAACTATTAGAATACTAATTCGAAGTGTGCGAATGATCTGAAATTTCACATTTCAGGCCTACACCAAATATAACATTTTAATCTCGAAAATTTATTTCCAGCCCCGTCATGTCAAAAAAAAAAAAAAAACCTCAGTTGAGTCCCTTCAAACATTTATTAAAAAAAAACCCGGAGAAATATTCAATCGGGGACGCGTATCAAAATAATGTGTATGACCTGCCTAAAATATTAGAGTTACGATGTTCATCTATTGACTCCACATATACTTATTCATATCTAAGTGAGAATCCGGTGTTACCTGAACAAAATTGCAGTAGATTTATTAAACGGTATTACAAATATGTCATGTATGTAAATTAGAAAATGAATATTTAATCGGAACTTAATTGAGTCCGTTTAGCGACATATTGCTCCCTGCTTATTAATGCTCAATGCAGTTTAAATTTAACATGAATGAAATGTATTAAAATAATTGGAGTTTTAAAAATAATTTCACGAAGCCACTTAGACGTATTTCGTTATTTTTCTTAAACAAATGGCTAATACGCAAGTAGCTATGAATAATTTACGAAGTATAGAGGTGTGCAGTGAGACTTTTATGTATGAATAATGATACTTTTATAAAAAAAATAAAGGAAACAAATGAATAATAAGTAAATGAAACAAATGAATAGTAAGTAAATGAAACAATAGATCTCAAAGGACACACTTGAATTCTTGCTATCTAGGGTTCAATGAAGTTTCATTACTTTGAACTTCTTTTGTTTAACTTATTGAACATTAAATCTTTCAATCTACAATGATTATTAGTCCCCTACCGGTTTACCGGAGGGGACTTTAGGTTTACCCTCCGTCCGTCTGTCCGTCCGTCTGTCCGTCCGTCCGTCTGTCTGTCAGTCCGTCAGTCCGTCCGTCCACAAAACTGGATCCCGCGATAACTTGAAAAGTACTGAAAATATTTTTATGAAACTTGATATATGGATAGATGGCAGTATGGAGATTATGCACGTCTTTTTCTTTTCTTCCTATGTTGAAAATTCTGGTTGCTATGGCAACAAATAGGCTGAAAATATGGCAAATTTTACACATAAACTGGATCCAGTGATAACTCAAAAAGTACTGGAAATATTTTTATGAAACTTGATATATGGATAGATGGCAGTATGGAGATTATGCACGTCATTTTCTTTTTGTTCCTATGTTGAAAATTCTGGTTGCTATGGCAACAAATAGGCTGAAAATATGGCAAATTTTACACATAAACTGGATCCCGCGTATAACGAAACTTGATATATGGATAGATGGCAGTATGGAGATTATGCACGTCTTTTTCTTTTTTTCCTATGCTGAAAATTCTGGTTGCTATGGCAACACATAGACTGAAAATATGGCAAATTTTACACATTAACTGAATCCAGTGATTACTCAAAAAGTACTGGAAATATTTTTTATGAAACTTGAAATATGGGTAGATGGCAGTCTGGAGATTATGCATGTCTTATCTTTTCTTCCTATTTTGAAAAAATATTGATTGCCTTGGCAACAAATAGGCTTAAAACATGGCAAATATAACAATATTTGTGATTAGTCAAAAAGAGCTGACAATTTTTATGAAATTGCATCTTTAATTCAAGAGTTATCTCCTCTTCAAGAATTTTGCTTTTAAAAATGTAATATTTTGGTAACAGGGATGTTTCAAATATTAACTTTAGAGTGTCCTTCAGTCCGTCTGTCTGTCTGTTCATAAAAACTCTTTCCTGTGATCACTTTTAAAGAACATTTCCAACAAATTTACTTAAAATAGAGAAAAATTTAAACATTAGTGAATGGCCAATGGCCCTTCAGAATGCTGATGGGGTTCTAACCGGTAGGGGACTTATGGATTGCTTGCAATACTATGATAATTGCTTGTTATGATAATTATGGTCATAAGGTTATTGGGTTGTGCTGGTGGTAGAAACAATAGCTCAAAAATAGAAAGAAGAATAATTTTGCAAGTAAAAGCAGCTTTACTTCGGCCGACTTTCTTTTTTAAAGATATTTCTTTTCAGTTATCTTTCAAAGAGAAATTTTTGCCCTTTTGGTAAGTTTCAAGAACAGATAACTCAAAAGAAAACTTTTTCCCGTCATTACACAAAATTGTAAAATAATTCTATTCAATGCTTTAATACTATAACAAACTACATGTTTCTTCAAAAATAGGACATATGGCAGAAAAATTTCGAATAAGAATTTTGGCAACCTTTGCACCATGGCAGATAAGAAAGTACAAACATGAATATGAAATAAATCGGGGTGTTGTTGTTCGAGTTTGACTTATCTCCTTTTGAAAATGACAAAAAGAGCTACCGACTCACTATCAGGAGCAGACAACTCAAAAAAGTAAGATTGGTGATAAATTTGTTAAGTAATAAGTTAAGCTTTAGTAAATATTTTTTTTCTTTCCTGTTGTAAGAAATGTAATACTGTTGGCCGAAGCAGGTAAAACACTATTAAAGGTTACGTTTTTGTGATCCAGTTATGACATTTTCATACATTCTACAAAATAAAAAGACTTTGGTGATTTTGACTTACTTGATCCGTGCTAGGAAAAAATTAAACAAAGATGTAGGTGATAAATTAGAAATTCGACAATAGTGCATATACAATATATATAAGAGGTTATTATACATTGCTGAGTACAATACTGAATTCTATTGGACGAGTGCATAAACCTTTATTGGACGAGATGCTAGCCGAGTATCGTTCTCAACAATGTGTGATGCCATCTTTTAATTTCATATTTTTACTTTCTGAAAGAACTGTGTTACTTTGAGTACAATATGGAATTGATATGAATCTTTTACCCTGCAAATAAAAATCTGGCTAAGTTTTTGATATAGATATTGTGGACTTTGAGAATGAAAACAAGACCATATATGGTAATATGCGCATTTGAATGGATATTTTGGACTCTAAAAATGGAAAGGATGCTAAATTGGTAAGATTTGATCCGATAATGATTTCTATAGGAACATCATGTGGTTGAAACGATGGAAGTTCATCGGGTGCGAAATGAATAATATATATACGTCATGATAATGCCGTTTATAGCACATGCTTACATGCTTAAATTAAACTCTTAAGCTACCTTGTACTTAATTTTTCTACAAAACATTATCGAATTCATAAAGAATTGTATTTTTGCCGGGAATCATTAAAAGTAATAAGAGGGACGGGAAAAAAAAGCTGAAGGCCTTTTCCACGCCTGTATGTTAATAAGTACCGACATGGCTTCTATTGGAAATCTAAGGAAATTATACGTGCCCTACATTCGTGTTACATTCATTAAAGTTCATTCCTATAATAATAATAATAACCACGATATTGACCCGACTTGGTTAACGTATTAAAAATGGTGACAAACGTGCTTCAGATATTAACAATCATAC